AGGAAGGAAATATGAAAGAGAAGGGAGGGAGAGGAAAGGAGGAAGGAGGAAGAGAGAGGGAGAAGTAGGGAGGAAGAAGGGATAAGGAAGAAAGAAGGAAGGAAAGCTTCCTGGAAAACAATGAAGAGTTGTATTAAACACACACACACACACACCCAAATACTCTCCTATCTGCCCAAGTCAGTTCCAAGGCCAGGCATCCCTGTCCTTTTGCTTGTCTGCCTTGGCACTGAGCTGTTCCCCTGAGAGTCCAGTGGCATTGCCCTGGGCAGCCCGTGCTACATGCAGATGCCCTCTGCATTCGTGGGAAGTAGAATAGAATAGGGAATAAAAATAGAACAGGGAATAAAAATGAATAGAATAGAATAGGAATAGAATGGAATAGGAATAGGGATAGGATAGGATAGAATAAAATAGAATAGAATAGAATAGAAATTAGAATAGAATAGAATAGAAATTGGAATAGGAATGGAATGGAATAGAATAGAATAGAATAGAATAGAATAGAATAGAATAGAATAGAATAGAATAGAATAGAATAGGAATGGAATGGAATAGAATAGAATAGAATAGAATAGAATAGAATAGAATAGAATAGAATAGAATAGAATAGAATAGAATAGAATGGAATGGAATGGAATGGAATAGAATAGAACAGAAATTGGAATAGGAATGGAATAGAATAGAATAGAATAGAATAGAATAGAATAGAATAGAATAGAATAGAATAGAATAGAATAGAATAGAATAGAATAATAGAGTTGGAAGGGACCTTGATGGTCTTCTAGTCCAACCCCCTTCTTTAAAATCTGGATGTGGTTGTCAAAATAAAATATCCATGTTACAAGACCCCTGGACAAATGTCACTTGAATGCTCCGAATATGTCCAGACGTCCCGTTTCTTTTTATTTCTTTAGATGAGCAACGTCACCAAGGAACACTGTTTGGAAATTATAAACCAGTTTGAACCTTGTCCGGAAAACAGGCAGCAAGGAGCCCTGGGAATTGACGGTAAGTTCCCTCTGGCTTTTATCAACAGATTCGATCCCCTTGAGCAGGTGGGATGTTTTCATCCACACAACCCAGGTCTGGATAGTTCTGTGTGCCATCAGGATTACAGCCTTACGAATTCTGGCCTCGGGTTGGGACCCGGGGCGGGATGTTTGCTCGAATGGAATATTGTATCTTTTCCTCATTTGTTGAAAAATGGGCTATTTCTCTCCCTCATCCTGTTAATTTTTTTTTTCCTGGAGTTGCTTTCCAAAAATTGCTTTTTATTGCATGCAAATTGCCCAAATTTAATTGATGTACAGCAGTTTGATTTTAATTGAAACGTCAATTAAACACAACCAGTCTGGCACGTCCCCTGCATTTGTAAATATTTTGAACCCAGACAGACTCCAGATGCAGAAAAGAACAGTCATAATTTGCAGCAACAAAATGATGGATCAGCACCTAGCACGGTTTCAGCCAGTCATGCCTTCACCCTCCAGGGCAGGAAATAATGACAATTATAGTTAAAAAGATAGTCAAAAGAAGTCTTAAAAAAGGAGAAAAGGGCCCTTAGACAGCGAGCATAGCTTTGAAACACCCGATCAGGAAGAGCATCCTCTAAAAAGAATTCAGTCATTCTTCCTGACAGGCAGATAATTTTCTCTTGTTTTTTGAAAGATGAGAAAGAGACCGGGAGGAGGGGAGAGAAACAGAGAGGGAGGAAGGGAAGAAGAGACGGGGAGAAAGAGAGAGAAAGACAGGGAGGGAGAGAGAGAGAAAGAGAGACACAGAGAAGGAGGAAGAGAAGGAAAGAGAAAGACAGAGAGAGAGAGGGAGAAGAGGAAGAAAGAAAAAGAAAGAGAGAAAGAGAAAGAAAGAAGAAAGAAAGAAAGAAAGAAAGAAAGAAAGAAAGAAAGAAAGAAAGAAAGAAAGAAAGAAAGAAAGAATCGAGTCTTTCCCAAGGACCTAGGCTAGGCAGATATCTCGGGGTTTAATAACCCATCAGGCTGTATGCTCACCTGCCCCGAGTCAAGCTACCTTTTTGCACTGTCTAATGACTGTTTTCACGCCCTCCCCTTTAGAAGTCCTCGGACAAATGACAGGGTCTCCTTGTCAGGTGCCCCATTCGTGGAACAATTTGGCCGGCCTCGGCCCCTGCAGGGAACAGGGGGGTGGGAATCAATTGTCCAGGACACAATCACTCCCCTCCTCCAGGACATCTGCTAAACGCGCTAATGTTTTCCCTTGCACCTGGTAGCAGTCCATCTGCAGCCACCGCAAGCGGTTTTTTAATTTACTTTTACGAAGAGCACAGGTGGGTGTGAAGCCACCTGTGTCCTCCCAACATCCGGGGTTCAATTTAGCCTCGCGGCGATGAGATTTTTAGCTTTAACTGCCCATGTGTAGTCCTGCCCCGCCCCCCCCCAAAAAACCCCCGAGCAGCCCCTCCCCCCCCCCCCCCCCCCCCCCCCCCGTTGTCCAAAGCTGTCATTTTGCAGAGTTGCCGCCTTCATAAAAGTATCGATTCTGTGTGAACAGATTGAGTTAAAGTCAGGCTTGAAAAATGACTCTGCCTTGGTTTATTCTGATAAGGAATTGGGGAAGGAGAACCGAAAATAAATGGAGATGGATGGAGAACCAATTGGCAATATATATGTGCGTGTGTGTGTGTGTGTTTGTGTGTCTTTTCCCGTGTAAGATTGAGAGCATCTTGGCGACGTTTCGACGAGGTCCCACTTTTTTGTTTTTTTTTATCTTTGAAGAGGTTTCACTTCTCATCCAAGAAGCTTCTTCAGCGATGGGGAACGGGAGGATTTATACGCCTTGCGGACCGTCGGTCCTTTGCATACTTTTAGAGAGCTGTTGAGGCCACTCGGAGCTTTGTCTGTATCCTCCGGGTCACCTGAGTTGTGCCGATTTAGCCAGAGAGGACCGCTGGTTTGAAAGAGGGGTCAAAGGTGCCACCTGTGTCCAAACCATCAACAGGTGTGGGGCGGGGTAGGGATACGACACCGTCTATCTCCTGTCTACAACTCGGTCCTTTCAGCCGTTCCAAGAAGGCTCCACGCCTATGAAACATGCCGCATGCTTCCCAGTTGCTAGGTAGTCTATAGCAACAAAAATCCATGGAGCTGTCGCCACCACCCAAGAGCGCAGACAAAATCCAACTGGAGGAGAACACACACAAACACACACACACACACACACACACACACATACCAAGCTGTGGTTGGGAAGGATTAGGAAACAGCCAAAACCAACCGGAGCCGGTGGGAAATCAAGTCACTCAGTCGGAGAGGATCAAACGAAGGAAGCCAGTATCGCACATCATTAGGACCGGATGAAGAAGCGTGTTTGCCGGCCTTTTGCAGGGGGGAAGGCCTGCCTGGGAGGGAAAGCATTGAAAAGGAACCCCTTCCTGACTCTGTAGCCCGCTTCCCCAAGTGGGAAGGCGCGTCGAACGAGCTTGAGGGAAATTTCCACAGTTTCAACCCCCCAAAAAACCCCACTCCACTCTCAGGAGAAATCTTGTGTCTATCTCAGCCTTCACCTCCTGCCTAATTGGTTCTCCATGGACCCGGCTGGCACAAATGCCATGGAGGATGGAAAGGAGTTTAGGGGCATTTCCTGGCCTGGATTGCACGGGTAAGTCCTCAGGTTACGACCAGAATGGAAGCCCAGGATCTGCTCAGGAGACGTTGGTCAGGGGAATTTGGCTCCATTTTACGACCTTCCTTCCCAGATCTGACCAAGGAGAGATTCAACCTGGAAATGAGGAGGAATTTTCTGACAGGGAGAACCGTCAACCCATGGAACAGAAGTTGCCCTCGGAAGTTGTGGGAGCTTCATCATCCCTGGAGGCTTTCAAGAAGAGACTGGGCTGCCATTGGTCAGTAAGGGTGTAGGGTCTCCTGCTAGAGTGGGAGGTTGGACTAGAGGACCTACAAGGTCCCTTCCAATTTAGTTAATCCGAATTAATCTGTTATTTGTTAAATTAATCACTGCGGTGGTTCTGTTGGTCAGAAGATTGGTGAGTGAATCTTCTTGTGGTTCGCTGGCAGCGTGAGCAGACGGCAGCGGAATCGGACAGTGGGGAAGAACAGGGACCAGTCCAGGAATCTGGGGAGGATCTAACGAGGGTCCTGCATCCGATGCAGAGATAGGGCCAGGACTGCGAAGCTCCACGGGGAAGCCAGGATTCGTTTCACAAGCCGGGTGACCAACTTATCAACGGCCATTGTTCACTTAACAACCGCCGCAAGAAAGGTCGCAAAATGAGGAAAGACTTGCTTCACAAACATCTCACTCAACCCCAGACCTTTTGGGCTCTGTTGTGGTCGTAGTTCGAGGACTACCTGAATCTCTCACCCAGTGATGACAGCGATGGCTTTTCTGCGTTACTATGGATTTTTCTCCATGCCGATGTCCTCAGGCGACGTTAATTAAACTCGCATGTAATTACTTGAGCATATTTAAGCCATTGTCTTGATAATTATCCTTCTTTCTCTGAAAAGTTAAGCATTCAGGGGCGGGGGTGCCTCATAATTCATCCTCCTCCTCCTTTGTCAGTCATTCCGACAGGGAGATTAAGTGATGAGTAAGTTCAGCTTCAGATCCAGAGGATTCAATCACCTGAAATCACATCTCTCCAACTCAAGTTCTTTGGTTCTCCCTCCTTCATCTTCCAGAGATGCCTGGAATCCCACAAATGTCCGCCGGAATTTTTGTTTAAAATACCCCGTTTCCCCCCCAAAAATAAGATCCAACCAGAAAATAAGTCCTAGCATGATTTTTTTTCCCCCAGGATGCTCATAACATAAACCCTGTCCCTAAAATAAACCCTAGTTAAGATTGTCAGGCGGACACGTTTAGTAAAATAAGCCAACTGGAAAATAAGCCCTAGCATGATTTTTCAGGATGCTCGTAATATAATCCCTACCCCTAAAAGAAGCCCCAGTTTAAGATCGTCAGCCAGACAGATGTATTTAGTACCATATTTTCCAGAAAATAAAACCCAACCAGAAAATAAGACCTAATGCATCTTTTGGAGCAAAATAATAATAATATAAGACCTGGTCTTATTTTCGGGGAAGATGTTATGGATTTTCCATTGATTACATTCCTTAGTGCTTGATAAACATCGTGTTGTCCAGGCATTTAAATTACTCAACAATACAAATTCCCTTCTTGCTTTCCACCCCCTTTTTTCCCCCAACCATTGGTAAAATCAATTCCATGTTTGGTAACACACTGTGTCTTCTTTGTGTATGATTTTTCAGCGTGAGTCTATCCATTTCTGTACAATCTAATATCTTCTTAACGATCTCTTCATCTTGCAGTCTTCCATCATTTTTTCCAATGTTGGGCAAAAATAATCCTCGCCCCTGTTAAGACACGTAATATTAAATACATGCTTTTTTTCTGGACCATTTTTTTCCTGCGAGCATCCCAATTCAGGTTTTAAATATTTCCCTGTTATCTTTTCTATCCATCTTGGTATTTTTGCCCAAAGTCGTCGTCGTTTTTCTTTAATGCAAATCCGCCACATATGATTGAATGTACCCGGTTTTTGACTACCTGTCTGGTGGGATTGACAAGGCCTTGTTCTCTGGGAATTCTTAGACACACCAACATGGGGGTAAGGAGGGTCCCCTTCCCCAAGGTCATCCTGGAATAAAGATACACCTTCTGGTTTTCCTTCTCCTCGCAGGGTTCACCACTTACATGCGCAGCCCTGCCGGGGACATTTTCAACCCCAAACATTACCACGTCAACCAAGACATGACTCGCCCGCTGAGCCACTATTTCATCGCCTCGTCCCATAACACCTACCTCATGGGAGACCAGCTGATGTCCCAGTCCAGAGTGGACATGTACGCTTGGGTTCTGCAATCCGGATGCCGATGTGTGGAAGGTGAGATTGAGGAAGGACCTGCCTTCCAGTTGTCCCATTTAGGAACCCAGCTGTGTGAGGGGAAGGTGCCCGATTCCCGATTGTCACCCGCTCCAGACAGACAAAGCTGTGGTGCGCGCTCTCTCGCTCTCCCTCTCTCTCTTTCTTCCCTCCCCTCTCGCCCTGTCTCTCTCTCTCTCTCTCTCTCTCTCTCCTCTCTCTCCCTCTCTCCCGTCTCTCTCTTCCTTTCTCTCTCATCTCTTTCCTCCCTGTCTCTCTCTCTGTCTCTCTCTTTCCCTCTTTCTCTCCCTCCTCTCTGTCTCTTTACCTCCCTCCCTGTCTCTCTCTCTCATTTCTGTCTGTTTCCCTCACTCTTTCTCTCTCTGTCTTTTTCCCTTCCTCCCTTCCTCTCTCTGTGTCTCTCTCTTCCCCCCCTCTCTCTCTCCCTCCCCCATCTCTCTCTCTCTCTCTCTCTCTCATCTCTGTCTGTTTCCTCCCTGTCTCTCTCTCCTCTCTCTTTCCCTCACTCTCTCTTTCCTTTCTTTCTCTTCCTCCTTCCTCCCTGTCTCTCTCTTTCTCTCCCTCCCTCCCTCCCTGTCTCTCTCTCTCTCTATGTCTGTCTGCCTCTTTCCCTCCCTCCCTCCCTCCCTCTGTGTCTCTCTTTCTCTCCCTCCCTCTCTCCCTCTCCCCCTCCCCCTTGGGAGGGTCTTTTGAAAGCAGGTAGTTCACCCTTCACTCAGTTTTGACTCTTTTCCCTTCCTTCCCCAGTTTGGCTTCTTTGTGTTAAACAAACAGCTTTGGGGGGGTTTTTTTGTCCCGTTCTTTTCAAACCAGCTTTGCCCCTCCCCCAATGAAGGAGAGAGAGATTCCACCTTGTCTTTTCGGTTGCGCTCCGAACCCTTCAAGCCACCCTCGGTCCATGCCAACCATATCCTCCCAATTAGTCCTCTGGCCTCTGGGAGGCTTTTCCCATTAGCACTTTTGAAAGCTGGAGAGTCTAAAACCGTCCCAAAGAGGTACTTTCCTGCCTGATTTGGGGTTCCAGACAGCAAAATATGTGCCAAAACACACGATGCAGGTCTAAATAATCCCTATTTTTCCCTTTTCCAGTTGACTGCTGGGACGGTCCAGACGGCGAGCCGATTGTCCACCACGGCTACACCCTGACCTCCAAGATCCTTTTCAAAGATGTGGTTGAGACCATCAACAAATACGCCTTCATCAAAAGCGAGTACGTCTTTCCCACCTTGAGGACTAGCTGCTTAAGTCTACCTGGGTGACGTTCATTCCTTTATTTTGCTACTAGCTCGATACCTGTACTTTGCTACGATACTATGTGGTTGGGCCCAAGCTTTTCTGCTGGCTGGGGAATTCTGGGATTTGAAGTCCACCGATCTTAAAAGTGTCCAAGGCTGAGAAACAATTCCCTACCAATTGAAATTGTCTACGGAGATTCTCAGTCATGCGGGTGATGTCCCAAAGGCGCTTTTTTTCAAGAGGCAACTGGGCTTTGTTTAGAGTGGCCTAGAGGTGGAACTCTCTCGCCTCACAACCAGCAGGCTATGAGTTCGATCCTAGGTAGAGGCAGATATTTCTCTCTCTGGGCACACTGAGAATATATCTGCCGAACAAAACTCCGCCCTGGCAATAGGAAAGGCATCTGGCCAGTAAAATGCTCTGCTAGCTCCATTCAGTTGCCCAGACTCCACCCCCGCAAGAGATGATGGGGTTGTTTAAATGAAGATGATGATGATGAAGAACAGGAGTTTCTTTATTTTGAAGACGTTTTGCTTCTCCTCCAAGAAGCTGCTTCAGCTTTCTTCTTCAGCTGAAGAAGCTTCTTGGATGAGAAGCGAAAGGTCTTCAAAGAAAAACAAAACAAAGTGCAGTTGCCTTTTGAAAAAAAGCACCTTTGACCTGGATGATGAGAGGACCTCCATAGACATCTCTTCCGATGTTGTGTTGAACTCTCCCGGTTCCTTCAGAAGGATTCAGTTGTCAAAAAGGTACCGAAGGCTCTCGTAGACCCCGTGCAAATATCGTCCCCGCCACTAGAATTTGGGAGGATAGAATTTTGCGTCTTAATGGTTTCTTGCGTCCGTGGCTTTTCTCACCCCGTGCAGATACCCCGTCATTTTGTCCATCGAAAACCACTGCAGCGTTACCCAGCAGAAAAAGATGGCCCAATACCTGGTTGAAATTCTGGGCGACAAACTGGACCTGTCTACGGTCAACAGCGAGGATTCCAACGAGCTGCCTTCCCCGGAGAGCCTGAAGGGGAAAATCTTGGTTAAGGTAATCAAAGATAAAATTAGACACAGACCAGATTTGGTTGGCGTCTCTCTCTGACGGCCAGGATGCGGCCCAGAACCTCCTCTTGACCTTCCCCAAGGATGGGGTCGCTATATTGAAGCTGCCTAACAGCCAATTAAAATCAAGAGTGTTAAGTCAGTGGACTTTATTTAACCATTGACCGGCTTTAGGCAATACGGGAGATAAAATAAGATCAAATATAAGGTGTAGGCAATAAAAGGGTGGAATAGAATAGAATAGAATATAGAAAATAAATAGAAATAGAAGAAAAGAGAATGGAAAGGAATAAAAGATAGATTGAACTTAACCAGGTCTGGTGAGGCTTGCTTAGTTTAGGTAAATCCCCTTGACAACTGAGATTATTAACACGAAGGCTCCGGGGCAAAGGCCATCATAAATAAAGCTTTAAAAAAAGGTAAGTAGGAAGCTTCACTGTCCTTGTTTCCTACTAAGCAAGTTTCATCAAATTGTTTACACGAAACTTGGCAATGTCCTAAGTCTTAAGGTCTCCTGCCTGAGCAAGGGGTTGGACTAGAAGACCTCCAGGGGCCCTTCCAACTCTGTTGTTCTAATGTCTATCGTGCAGGGTTTTTTTAAGTTGTAGTTTCAACAGCCTGTGCAGAACAGGAAGAAGGAACCAATGTTATTCTACAATAATAGAACAACAGAAAAGCTTCCTAATCCATCCAGAAGGTCCACTTCAATACCAAACATTGTTATTGTTTCTGCAATCTGCTGCCTGAGTCTGTCACATAAAATTTGCCTGCACAACACAGTCGGATGGTGCGCGTGCGAGATAAGGAGTGACTGGGTGGGGCTGGGCAGGGAGGGGAGGGGCCAGCCAGGGGCGCGATTTGCCAGTTCTCCAAACTGCACAGAATGGGAACAACCGGTTCCGTAGAACTGGTCCAAACTGGTAGAATCCCAGCCCTGGGCCTGGTGGGAGTAATTTAGAACAAATTTGCAAATTTGCCCCATGCAAAGCATCAGCCCAAAAGTAATTAGATGCAGTTGCCCCTTGCAAGTGAAATGTCATTGGACCTTCGAACCGATTGGAAGATTCAGTGGCCCTTCGTACATTCAATGCTGCCACGTTTTCGGGACTCCGACATCGCTCGGTTTACTAATTGGCAGCCCTCAATCAGACATTTAAATTCACCGCTTCACTGTCGCTGAATCAGACCTGCGCCGGGAGGCTAAAGTAACCAAACGGGGTTGCAATTAACTTTAACTCATTTGCCCTTCGGTTCCTTCCAAACCTATGATAAATAATAATAATAATAATACATTTTTATTTTAGTGAAGCCCTTCTTTTCTTTCCTGCACTTTTCCTCCCTCGGTTCTGTGCTGTACGCTGCGAAGAGTTTAATTCCATTTTCCCCGAAAAAACAGTTTTAGAAAAATCTGTGGCAGCTGCCCAGTTTTCAGTGATTGGATTTTTGGAGTGGCGCAGATCACGGTGAGCTTTTTCAAGAGGCTTTGGCCCTCTTGAAAGCAATCCATTTCCACTCAGCTTAGATCCATGCTTCGGATTCTGCGTTCCTAATCAATCTAAATCCCCTTCTGGGATTTTGTAGCGAGAATGATCGATCGATAAATATCTCTCTCTCTCGTTCGCTCTGTTGGAAGCTCTGTGATTCTTTGTGGCAAGATGGAGGGAGGGTTAGCTGGAAGGAAAACAGCTTGGACAAAGATTTGAAGCCAGATTGGTGCAGACCTCAAGAGCAGATGAAGGGGGATAAAAAACCCCTCTTTTAATTACTTTCTCGAGACATCTCTGTAGTTTTCTTGGCAATCCCATGAAAGCAGTTTTCCGATGCCACCTGGGAATTTTTTCTTATTTTTTTAATCTATATATTAAATTTTTATTGTGTTTTCCACCAATACAACTCAAATCATATTCACATTTTCAACAATTTCCTTTGATGTTGAATCTTAGTATAGTATATAAAATTACACATTGCAATGTCCTACCTGTCAATGAATCCTTTAGCTTCAACCATAACAATACAAGAGCAAGCAATAGATACAAACTCAAAGTTAACCGCACCAAACTTGATTGCAGGAAATACGACTTCAGCAACAGAGTGGTCAATGTCTAGAATACTCTACCTGACTCTGGTTTCTTCTCCAAACCCCAAAAACTTTAACCTTAGGCTGTCTACTATTGACTTCACCCCTTTCCTAAGAGGCCTGTAGCGGGGCGTGCATAAGCGCACCAACGTGCCTACCGTCCCTGTCCTATTGTTTCTTTTATATATTTTATATATCTTTTTATTTTTCTTATATGTATCCATAACTATCTCTATTATCTTGTAAGCAATTGACAAACCAAATAAATAAATAAAATAAATAAATTTTGGCACAGCAACGAGAATGCCAGTTGGCCTTGGGTGTCTACTTATCTCCCAGTGACATTTTTTTGCATCCTAGGGGAAAAAGCTTCCAGCCAACATCAGTGAAGATGCCGAAGAGGGCGAAGTTTCTGACGAGGACAGCGCCGATGAGATGGATGATGACTGCAAGCTAATGAACGGGGATGTGAGTATTGAAAAGGCGGACTGGCTCGGCACGTAGAGTTGAGTCTCGTTGACCAAACCCAACTGCATCCGTGTTGATCTGGGGAAGGAGAAGAAGGGAGAAACGCTTTTGTCCAAGAGATAGATCGATAGATAGATCGATAGATAGATCGATCGATCGATAGATAGATAGATAGATAGATAGATAGATAGATAGATAGATAGATAGATAGATA